TTTTTTTTTTTTTTGAGATAACCAAAGCGGAATGATTTTATAACAATTTCATTATGAAGCAAAATTATCGTACCTTCTGGTTATTTAGAGTTTTTAGTACACTGGTCGGTTAGCGAAAAATAATTTTTATTTTTTCTCTTTTCGCACATATGCAAACAAATTTGTTAAAAAAACTGCCACTTCACTTTTTTAGTACATTGATCCACTGAGTCGGGTGGCTTCAAAACACTTGTCCAATGTTGTTCGTGCAGAATCTCAATATGGTTTGAAAGTCGCTTCACGGGATGGCGAAACCGATTACCATACAAAACTTGAGATGTTTGAGATGATGACTAATTGGCGTGATAGAAGCGATACCACCAAAGATGCGGACACTGCGGAAACTGTTGACGACTGTGTTGAACGGGCGAGCACCGATCTCTCCGAACATAAGTTTGTTCTGTTCCCTAAGCCATTGCGAAGGCAACTAAAATTCCTATTTAATTTTAGAGATTTTCACTACTGCTTTACTACAGTAATCATTTTGAAGCATCAGCTAGTGACTGAAAATTTTTTAATTTTCTCGCTTTATGTCCTCAAGGCAAAAAATAGTATTTATATGAAAATGTTATACAGCTTTTGTACAGTCCATTGATATTAATGGCCACTTGAGAGTTCATTGATTTTTTTTGGGCGCTCTATATCTGCCCTGTCAGGATTCTCAAAATATGACAAAGTTTCAGGAAGTCATCCCCTTCTTTGGTAGATTCTGCTTCAACAGAATTGGCACTTTTTGGCGCACCGCCAGAAAACCCAATAATTGAAAAAACGGATACAGTGATTCATCGACAGTGGAAGAATGATGTGTGCGATATACAAACTCCATATAACGTCGCTAAATTTAACCTAGCTGGTCCTGCTGTGCTATTTAGAGATGTCAGTTTAGTTTTTTCAATTGTTGCATTAACAGTATCATTTTTATAATTTTTAAGTGAGTTTAAAAAACGACAATAGGTTTGTTGAAGTGAATTTGAATCAGTTAATGGTTTTTTATAATTTATAAATTAGAGTATAGGTAGCAGTTTAAAGTTTGTGTGGTAGTCTTAACGTAGTTGAAGTTGTTCCAGCGAGTGACCTCAGTGACTGACGACGTTCAAAGCAGCGTATCTAGTCTAAATAAAAATAAAATGCATGTTTCAAATGACGATGTTTCGCCATCAACCAGGTCTCTTTCTAAATTATCTTCCTTATCTATATCTGTCCTTCAACATCTTACAACCGCTGTTTATAAATTCTGCCTAATAAACGTTAACTTA